CATTTCAAAAAATTCTTTATAGAAAATGTAAAAAGTCTTTGAGAAACCTGGAAAGGCATAAAATTTCTAATAAATATCAAAAATGTCAATAATGTAACTCCAAATTGCTTGCAAGTTAACGAAACATACATAACTGAACCAACTCTAATCTGCAAAGAATTCAGCAACATTTTCACAAATGTAGCTCATAAAATTAATACTAAAATTCACTCATCTTATATTAGCTATAAAATCTTAAGCATTTAAATCTTCATAGTTTTCTGATATTTTTAACAAACCATTCTGAAATCTCATCACTTATATCTAAATTAAAACCTAGAGAATCAATAGGTCCTAACAGCATCCCCACAAACATTCTTATTGATTTTAATTCTGAATTTTCTCATTTTCTCTCTAAGCTATTTAATATCTCATTCTTAAATGGATTTTTTCCTGACATTTTAAAATTATCTTGTGTCATTCCAGTATATAAAAATAGCTCAAAACTCTCATGTACTAACACTATAGACCAATTTCTATTCTATCTAACATTAACAAGCTTCTTGAAAAACTATTGTATTCTAGATTAAACTCATTTTTGAGTTCCTTTAACTGTTTAGATGAATTTCAGTTTGGATTTCGATCAAAACACTCTGCTTGCCTCGCTTTAATATGTATAACCAAAAAAGTAAAAATGGCACTGGATACTGGTCATTTCATTGGTGGTGTTTTTATTGACTTACAAAAAGCTTTCAATACCATTAATCATACCATTTTAATTTCTAAATTTGAATATTATGGAATCCGATGAGTTGTTTGTAATTGGTTTTAATCTTATCTCTCCAATCGCAAGCAGTTTGTTAGCATTATTGGTTACAAATCAAATAACAAACACATAGTTTGTGGTGTTTCCCAATATTTTTTTCTTGGTCCTTTATTGTTTTTGATTTATATTAATGATCTAATTAACTCTGTCCACTTCTCATCACTCCATTTGTTTGCTGGTGATGCTTATATCTTGCATATTAAGTCTCATCATTCCTTGTGTAAGAATATAAACTTTGATCTAAAAGGTTTAGTTCATTGGCTAAATGCAAACTTAATTTCTCTGACCTTGTAAAACACTTAACTAATATATTTTTTTTTTATCTCCAAAACAAAAACTTTTATACAACAATCATATAACTAAAATTAAAATTAATAATAGTTGTTTATTATCCAACACATGTTGTAAATATCTTGGTATTTTTATAGATTCGAACCTCTCATAGAATTTTCATATAGATGTACTCCGTAAAAAACTTAATCAAGGTTTTTAAGGAGTAAAAAATCAAACTAATGGCATGCTTTCAATAATTTGCCATTATGTTGATTAAACTATCTTCAGGAATCTGTATTATGCAATTTTTTAGTCTCATTCTTAATTACTGTTGTCATGTTTAGGGACAAATTGGCAATTTTAGTATTAATAACTTGTTATCAGCTCAGCGTCAATCAATCTGAATAACAAGTTTTCAACTCCATAATACATAAAACTTCAAATTTTGGCCTTGTCATCACTAGTTAGATTTTTGATTTTGACTCCATTAATAAAAATTTATTTTCCTCTATCACAACCTTTTTCACTTGAACTTTATACGTTCACATTTAACTAGAAACATCAATAATGGAAAACTAAATGTACCTCCCTATAAAACTTTGAGGTATGGTAAGTATTCAATTACGCATCATTGCATCAGTGAATCTTGTGTTCATTATGAATTACACATCATTAAGTCTTGTGTTCATTGTGAATGAGTTTAAAAAGTTAAAAATTTCAAAATAATTTATCTTTATTTCTATTTTTATTTATCTCTATTTAAAACAAAGTAAATTTAAACAAATTCTAAAAAAAATATTTTATTTTTTTGTTTTTAACTTCTTTTAGTTTTCATATATATTTTTTTCTTCTTACTATTTTTACAGAAACTTTATTGTTTTTGTCATTATTATTTATTATTTTTATTACTGCTGTTTTTATTATTACTATTATTATTGTAATTATTATAATTACTATTTTTGAATATTATTTATGTTGTTACTTTTATTTGTTAAATAATATTTTTGTTGTTACTTTTGCTTATATATATATATATATATATATATATATATATATATATATATATATATATATATATATATATATATATATATATATATATATATATATATATATATATATATATATATATTACTGACAATAAGTATATATATATATATATTTCATATATAAGTGAAATATATATATATATATATATATATATATATATATATATATATATATATATATAGATAGATATATAAATAGGCCTCAGTGTGAATAAATGAGTCCGAAAGCAGAGAAAAGTTCTCCTAAAATGTAATGGCGAGGCATGCAAGCTGCTTATCTAAACAACTTTTATGAGAACTTTCTGTTTTTGAGCTAACATATATTTTTTTTATTGTAAAAAAAACTTGATTTTATACTCATTACAAGCTTCAGTTTGAAGCGTTAATGTTACAAAAATATATACCTAATAAGCGCTATTTATGGCGCAGTGAAATTTTTTTTTTAGATAAAAAAAACGATCTATTAGATAAAAATTTGACAAACAGAGAACAGAGAGCTATAAAATATTTTACTACTTAACTACTTATTAAAATCATTTAATATTTTCTTATTGAAATAAAATGCAGAAAGTCAGAACAATTGAATTGAATGTTAAAAGGGTGGAAGTCAACAATGTAAACTTCTGGGAAACTAAAAAAAATAGCACTACTTCCTCAGTACATTTTTTTTATAATTTTTTTTTTTATAATCGAAAAACCACGGTCACAGGGCAAAAAGCTGTGCTCTCTGATTGGGAAAAACTGATTGACCTTTTTAATCCACTTATTGTCAGTAAGTGCCATAAAAAGTTTTAAAAAGCAATGGTTTTTATTTTGTTACCCACATTTATTGGCAAAAAAATTGGGTTCATCATACTCTTGATGACAGATAGACAAGTAGTACAAAAGAAAGGAGCAAGTTTCATTTGGAGACTTTCTAGCCTGTTTCTTGTGATAAAAGTAGATTGTTGCAACATTTCTCTTCATATCATGAATAGAAAATACACTAACCATTAACTGCTTTAAGTAAAATAGCTCTTGCACAGGTGTTTTTGGCAGTGAAATGTTTTGCATATAATCTACTACTAGAGACAAAACCTTTACATTTTTTTCCTCCCTAGCGTCCTGTACATCTTGTTTTTATAAAAAAAATTTGTGAGTCTGTTATGTACTGCGAACTCGGTTACTGCTGTTTGCTTAGCAACTTCATTAAGGTGAGGTGATTTTATCTTTAGCTTAAACTCTTCGCTTATGCAACATTTATGTTTCAAGCAACATCAAGAAGACACCTTCTTGATGTTGCCTGAAACATAAATAAAAGTGCTCATTGTAGTAGTAATAATAGGACTTGTAACTGAACTTTCCCCCTTCATTTTTCCATGAATAGTTCATAAATTAGTTTCACATTCAAATCTTCACTCAAAAAATATCTTTCCTTTCCACCATAGTGAATCAGTTTTATGTCTATGCGAGCGTATACCTTAGCTATTATATCATGACTGGTAATGTAACTTGTATGTACTCCTCTAAAATCTTTAACTGCTTTTCCATCAATTTTTAAACCCCTTATTCTTCGAACCCTCTTTTCTGACAAAGAAAGTATTGATTAAAATGCCTCACCTCATACCTGTATTGGTTCATCTCCAATTAAAACATGATACTTAAATTCCTTTTTGTTTCCGCTGTTATTTTTTCTTTTTTGTACAGTATCTTCATTGGCATCACAATTTTTTCCCTTGGTATGTCTTGAACCAGGCCTCTTCCTCACAATGTCCCTATATTCAATCAAGCTATGTAAAAATAAATCCTGCTCATCCTTTGTATTGAACTGGCTGTAGAAGTTCATAAATGCATCATCAAGGTTGTCTTTGCCATAGATTCATAGCACTTTCTTGTTGTAATTTTACTTTTTAAAAAAAAATTATAGGTAGCCTAGTTTAGGAAACAAAATAGACTTTAAGTTAATATACGATAAGTGATTGACTACCCTAAAAATGTCTTAGGGCTACAAATATTAACACCTAAATACCCAAAATACTGTCTTGGGCCTAATAGAATTTACAACCTAAACAAGCAATCAACAACTTAGGTCTATAGGCCAACAATAAAAATACAGAGCCTAAATCTGACAAAATTTTAGACAAATTATTATAGTTTGGCCTAAGCCTATTATTAAAATAAGAATTATTGTGTATTATCTCTTACCTGCATAGATCTCCTATAGACTTTGCATCAACTTTTTGTCCCCTGTAGTTTTCATATCCCACACCAGTTAAAATTACACCAGTTAATAATAACTTTAATAGAAAGTCATAGCATTCACTAAAAATATGGTTTACAGGAGAGTATTATTAATTTATTTTTATAAGAAACTATTTTATTATTTAAAATTTAAAAAGTAATAGAAAACATTTGCATTATAATTTACGCTCTTTTTTAAATTTTTTTTCGCAGCAACCATGCTTTTAAAAAAGCATTGCAGTAACCATACAATAATCTTGCAATCCAAAATTTGTTGCAGGACTAATGTCTCCATATGGTTGACAGTCATGTTGCCATAGTCAGCAAAAAAAATAAAAAATCAAACAATTGCATTTTGTAAGCTAAAACCTTAATCTGAAACTCGAGCTTTGTCTTTTGGATACAAACTAATGGATGTAGTTTGCACAAAAAATTTTAATTTTTCTAATTAATATCTAAAAATAGAGAAAAAAATAGAAAGTGGTTTATATTTATGAAAAAAATATATTAAAAAAATTGAGAGTAAAAAAGATATTTAAATATATATACTCACATACATATATACATATTATAAGAATAAAATGTATATATGTATGTGTATATATATATATATATTTATATATACACACATATATACATATTGTTTTTCTTAG